CGCCGGAAAGCCCCGCCCCAGCAGGAAGTGGGCGGGGCCTCGCGACTCCCCTGGGGGCGCGGCCCCACGTCCTAACAGCATCGCGGTGGGGTGAAGAGTCCAACCTAGGAACTTGGGGGGATGCAGGCATTCAGACCAAAGCAACCAGTCAGAAAGGATGGCGGTTTTCAGAGTGTTCACCCACAGAAATGCCAATGACCAGGAAAGTCGTTTTCCTAAAACCCCCAGGATCCCATCTGTTCCAGCCCCACGTGGCCTCATGACTACAGAGCTAGAGAAATGGAATCATTTTTTCTAAAAAGAAACCTTGTTTATGCTGCGTGGTCAGTGGAATCCAGTAAACAAATACTTCACAGCTTGAGAGATGAAGAAAACCTCACTGAGTCCCTGTGAGGGTTTGAACAGAGGCAGGAGGTGGGCGGGCTGCAGTCCTGGCCCGGGTCTGGCACACAGGCCTTTGGGGGCAGTGGCTGCAGGGCCTCCTTTTAGGGCTGAGCGCAGCCACCATCCAGGACAAGATGGCTCACAGGAGGGTGAAGGCCCTCCTTCCTTCAGGAGGAGGGCTCTCCAGCCACCTACCCTCTTGCCTTGAGGGTCTCTGGCTTCTCAGGTCTTGCCTGAAGCCTCAGCCCAGCTTCCTGCTGTCAAGTGAGGGCTCCCAGGAACCAGCAGAACCCGCACGGAGGAACGGAACATACAGGCAGTGGGGATTTCGAAGTTTCACAATTTTGCTGACATTTTAACCCCAAATTGTCAACAAATCCATCGGACCTTCCTGCTTCAGGATGAAGGCCTGCACTGCTGGGCACCTGAGGCAGATGCAGAAATGGCCACACAAGGGTGGCAGCCCTGTCCTGAAGAGGGTGGGGCGTGAAGGTCTGGGAGAAGAAGCGAGAGGAAGGGGACAGCTTAAGGAAAATTAAGAAGCTGCTATGTAGGCTGATAGGTTTTGCAGATTCTTTATAGTTTTATGATTTTATTAGTAATAAACCTGTCACCAGGGAGAAACCTGGGTAGTAGGGACGGCAAGGCCAGGACTCCTGCCGTCATGGGGTGCTGACTGCCTTCCCTCCACTTTCAGAGGTCCCGCATTCATGACTAGATCTAATCCAGGCCCAGCCTTGCTCAGCACAGCTGGGAGGAAGCGTGTGCTTCAGTGACAAGAGGCACAGGAAGGAGGGGCTGGGGCCGGGGAGACCAGGGCTCCAGGCTGGTCTTGAGGCTTCCTTGCCTCCCTTTGGGTACCACAGACAGACCTCAGGCCACGAGTTCTGCAGGCCTGTCCTGCAAGCACTTGTTTGGCACTTAAGGAAACTATCTCCTGATCTTCACAGACAGAAACCTGCCCCCCCCCCCCACCCCTTAAGCATCTGCAGTGAGGTGGTGTGGACACAGTTTCAGCTCTGAGCTGCGAGGCCGGGGACGTTTGCATCTAGCACCTTATCCCTGGTCAGGAGATTGTGACCCTTTGCCATATTCTTGGAGTTCCTGGAGCCTGACGAAGGATCGCGATCTCAGCGCTATCCCCCAAACCCAAGCGCTTCTGGCCGTAGTTAATAGTCACTTGTTCACGGTGGATCGATTGCTTAAGGTCATGTATCTCCCCGATGTCTCTGGTCCACAGAGAAAAAAGCCACATTGGTTGTTTTTTTGGACCTGCTGTCCAGTTGGCCACGTGCGTCACACCTTAGAAACGGGATGTCTGCACACGTGGGTTACACGGGAGCTCCACAGCACAGGGCATCCTTGAAGTAAGATTTTTGACCTGAGAAACCCATTCTTCAGGCATGACAGGCGGATGAGTTTCCTAGGGGGAGACACTCCAGGGGACTTGCCAGGATCACGCCGGGTCTGGCAGGTACAGCACAACTCAGGCTGGCAGAGGGTGAACAGCAGTTTGCACTGGGATCCCAAAGGGCTGACTTCACTTTCTCCACCATGTCTCCAACAGAGACAGCAGGCGAGGGGAATTTTGACAGAATTCAGGAAATTCATCAGCTTCTGGGAGTCCTATTACACTCGAAAGTGACCCAGTCTCAACACCAGGTCGAGCTGGGATTTCCCCTCTGATCCTCTGACTTGTCTCTGAAACGTGAACCTGCCCCACCTTCCTGTGCTTTGTGACGCTTGCCTAAGGTGCACTGTGACCACTGTCTGATAGCCTTCCCAGGGGTCATGATAATGTCATTTTCCTGTCTATGAAGATTTAACACTTTGTTTAAGCAAAGACCAAAGGGGTGGCAAAGAGACAAAAATTAAAAAGGCAACCTCACCATGGTGACAGGCGGGGAACAGGCCCATAGTACCCCCAAAGTAGCCTATGGTATCAGGGTGCTGAATGGGGACCCCCCTAAAGGAAATGCACATGGCTCAGACTGCTGCCCAGGGCACCTTGGCAGTAAAGCTGTGTGACAACTGGGGACTCCTGGAGCAGGCTCACCTCCTGTGGTCACCTTTCCTCAATCCCAGCCTGCACAGGCCCCGCCTGGCCATTTGGGGGCGGAATTTCATGCTTCATCCCCTGCTCCTATTCACCCAAGTTACTTCCATGGCTGTCCTGGAGGGGACCACTTAGGAAAGACCAGGTCAGATTTGACTTCAGAGGTTTGAAACCCTTCAAATTTCCCCTCAGGAGGTTTAATTAGAACACTCTGCCTGCCCTTCTGGCTTATCTACTCTCAAAGCTCTGAACTCTAAGGACAACCCTTAAAATGTGTCGCCCCAGAAAACCATGAGGCGGCCAGCCACCCAACAGGCTGTTCTAATTCAAGGTCCCAAAGAACCTGTTACAAGTTTCCATATTTTATGTTTTGCCTGGAAAAAAAAAGGAGACTCAAATGTCAGTTATCATTTAGGGGTATGCATGAATTACATTTTATTTACATTTAAAAGTCTCTCCCTGCCCCTGTGCTCTGGTCTGTGGGTGGCACACACTGGACTTAGTGTAGGCTCCGTGGAGGGAGGGAGGGAGGTGGTGAAAAACCTCTTCCCACAGAAAGGCAAAACCCCACTCTCTCCAGGTCTTGCTTCTGAAAAGACAGTCATCTCCTGGGTGTTCCATGCTTTCTATCCCGACACTGTTAGCTGCTTCTTGGTGTGAGGGACAGTTCCCAATTCCCTGGAGCCTCCTGGGATATGGTTTATGGCAGACAGGATGTGAGGAAAGCCTGCCAGCTCTGCCCTGGACGCCCAGGTTGGCACTTAGTCCCAGAAGGTGAGGGCCAGGCTGTGTGGTGCCACAGCCAGTGATGCCACCATGAGTGAGGCAGGGTAGGGGAGGTGACAGCAAACTGTCCCCGAGTCCAGCAGTGAGTCGGGTGGAAGGACTGATTCCAGCGTAGCAAGGAGGCTGCAGATCTAACGGTGACTACTGCTTTGGCATCAGGATGGGATGGTGTCAAAGCCACACGGCTGGAGAGGGTGGGACCATCATTCACTCGTGGAAGAGATGACACCCTATGGGAGACTCAGCCAGGGGCTCAGCTTCTCTTGAGCAGTGTCCCCTGTGCAACCTCCAAGGCACTCACATAGCATATTTCTGTGTCCACTCTCGCGCCAGTTTGTTGTACCTGGAAGAAAAAAGCAGAAGGGCTGATGTGCTTATTCAAAATGGTCACTTCATTCAATGTCAAGGAGAGAACAGAACTAATACAGGGATGCTGCTGCTGGCAAACATCGAGGACTAAGGAGTGAGTGGAACAAAGGGGCCTGGCACGAGGATATGTCATAGTGCCTGTGAACCCCGCCCGTGGGGAGTCCTGATGCTCCATAACTGCCTCTTGTGGGAGATGTGGTAATGCATCGACCATCTCTCTTCCTCTCTCCTGTCTCACAGCACCGACGAGGAGGGTCAGGAAAGGGGCTGCCCAGTGAGACTCCAGGATGCAGGCCTTGGAGCCTGGCCACCAGAGAGGGAGTCGTGTAAGCATGCGGCATGTGCGTTTATTCTCATTAGTGTAATGAGATCGCGTGCCATGGGACTGTAAGACAGATCTGTAGTTAGAGGGCAATGAAAAAAACCACTTTTGGTATATCTAAAGTATCTCATAAGTGTTAAATAAATACAGTTCGTAATGTAGTCAATTAAAAATGTCTTTCCCATTCTGGAAAACTCAATGAGGGAAATAATGATCTCTATAAAGCTTTCAAGATTAATATAAGTTGGAGAAATCACATTCCATTCTAATCTCTTCAGACAAGAGAACTGATAAACTAAGAGACTCTCTGGAGATGTTCTTTAAGAGCCAGCAATTCCCCACCCTCCTACCACCACACATGCACTGCTCACAGGCCAGGCTCCTGATGCCAGGGCCCCACCAGGAAGGCCCTTTCTCAGCAGACTGTCAATGCCAGAGGTTTTCCCATGGGGAGGTGAGGGCCCAGTCCTTTCCTCTATCTGCTTCCCCATCAAAGACACCCCCAGACCACAGTGCATG